TTTAACCACAGTGAAAATCACCAAAAAAAATTCACATTGGTGAAAAATTATTTGAATATTAAGTTTTTAAACAGTGTGGTAGAACGCGCGGCCTCCAAAAGTGCTGGGATTACAGGCGTGAGCCGCTGCACCGGCCAACTTTAGTCATTTTTAAGTGTATAATTTACTGGCATTAAGTGCACTCATGTTGTTGTGCAGCCATCGCTGCTATCCGTCTCCAGAAGTTTTTCATCATCCCAGACTGAAACTCTGTACCCACTAAACAGTAACTCCAAGTCCTCCCCTCCCCTCAGCTCCTGATAACCACTATTCTACTGGCTGTCTATGAATTTGGCAACTCTACATACCTCATATAAGTGGAATCATACAATATTCCTCATTTTGTGTGGGGTATATTTTATTTAGCATAATGTCTTTAAGATTATTATTGCATGAATTAGAATTTTATTCCTTTTTAAGGGTGAATGATATTCCATTGTGTGTATATACCACATTTTGATTATCCTTTCATCTGCCAATTAAATTTGGGTTATTTCTATCTTTTGGCTATTGTGAATAATCTTACTATTGATGTACAAATATCTGTTCATTTGAATCCAGTCTACTGTCCAGAAAAATAAAATATCTGAACTCATGGTAGCGGCAGCAGCAGCTGCTCAGGCGCGGTGTGGTGGTGACTAAACTAAGCGCCTGGCGGCGGGTGTGCACCGAGCCCCGGCCCGGCCCCCGCGTGCCTCCCAGGCTCCACAGCCCTGATGCTGAGCGGGTGCTGAGCCTGCTCCGGCCGCGACGATGGTGAAGCATCTCCTGGGCCAGAGCGTGCTCCGGAGTTCCTGGGACCAAGTGTTCGCCGCCTTAGGGCAGCGGTACCCGAATCCCTGTGGCAAACATATCTTGACGGAAGACATAGTACACCGGGAGGTGACCTCTGGCCAGAAACTGCTGTCCCCGAGAGTCCTGACCGAGACCGAGAGGATGCCCCGCTGGGCTGAGTGGCTGTTTCCTGCCAGTGTTGCTCACTCGGTGGACATACATATTGCAGGACTCTGTTGTGGACCCACAGAATCAGAGCGTGACCACCTTCACCTGAAACATCAACCACGCCTGGCCGATGGTGGTGGAGGAACGGTGAGTTGACTGTGAACTCTGTCAACAGTGGCTGGACCGAAATCTGCCGGGAAGCGAGGGTCTCCTCTAGCTTATTTGGTGTCCCTAGAGCTGTCCGGGAATTTGGTCTTGCCCAATTCAAAAGCAACGTGACCAAGACCATGAAGGGTTTTGAACATACCTTGGCGAAGCTGCAAGGCGAGGCCCCTTTCAAAACACTTGTTGAGACAGCCAAGGAAGACAAGGAGAATGCAAAGGAGACAGCACTGGCAGCTGCAGAGAAGGCCAAGGACCTCACCAGCAAGGCAGCCGCCAAGGAGCAGCAGCAGCAGCAGCATCAGTTTGTGTAGCCAGCCCACCACCACCACAGCACCCCAGACAGTTCTCTGCCCTCCCTCCATTGTACCTTATCATTGAAAATCAACTTCCGGCCGGGCGCGGTGGCTCACGCCCGGGCACTTTGGGAGACCGAGGCGGGCGGATCACAAGGTCAGGAGATCGAGACCATCCTGGCTAACACGGTGAAACCCCGAATCTACTAAAAATACAAAAAAAAAAATGGGGCCCGGGCCGGCCCGATGGCCTCCCAAGGCCTGTAATCACCAGCACTTTGTAGGCCGAGACGGGGATCACGAGGTCAGGAGAATCCGAGACCTGATCCTGGCTAACACCAGTTAAACCCGCGCCGTCTCCCCTGCCAAAAAATTCAAGCAAACCACCCGGCCTAGCCGGACCCGCGAGGTGGCACGGCCCTGGTAAGTCCCAGCTACCTCGGGAGGCTGAGCGCAGGAGTAATTCTGGCGTAAACCCGGGAGGCGGAGCTTGCAGCTGAGCCGAGATCGCACCACTGCACTCCAGCTGTGGCGACAAGGGCGAGGGGACTGTTTCCGTCTCAAAAAAAAAAAAAAATCAACTTACAGCCCTATCTACTGTCTGGGTGGTGGGTTGTGGGGAATCCAGTTTGACATCTGCAGTACCCCAGGCATGTGATCCACGTCTGAGCCAGGTCTGCTTATTCTCCCATTGGGCAGCTGAGGACCGAGGCACACAGGGGCGGTGACTTGCCCTGGGATCCAGGTAGCCTGCAGGTGGACTGGCAGTAAGTGCTAGACTGTAAGCCCCACGAGGGCAGGGCTCTTGGTTTTGTTCTCTGATGTGTCTCAATATCTAGCACATAATAGGCACTCAATAAATACTTGTTGAATTCAAAAAAATAAATATCTGTTGAAGTCTCTACTTTCAGTTATTTTTGTTTATATACTCAGAAGTAGGACTGCTAGATCATATAATTCTGTTTAATTTTTTATGGAACCACCATACTTCAACATGAATATTTTTGTAGGATTAATGCAGCAAAGCTTAAATGCAAGTAATCATTATCCTCACTGCTGGTTTTAGTAAAATAATTAAAACAAAATTCACACACACTGTTTAATAACTTATTCGTGGCCAGGCACAGTGACTCACGCCTATAAAATCCTAGCACTTCGGGAGGCTGAGGCAGGTGGATTGCCTGAGCTCAGGAGTTCAAGACCATCCTAGGCAACACAGTGAAACCCCGTCTCTACTAAAATACAAGAAAAAAAAAATTAGATGGGTGTGGCAGCTCGCACCTGCAATACCAGCTACTTGGGAGGCTGAGACAGGAGAATCACTTGAACCTGGGAGGTGGAGGTTGCAGTGAGCCGAGATCGCACCATTGCACTCCAGCCTGGGTGACAGAGCAAGAGACTGTGTCTCAGAATAAATAAATTTATTTATTTATTTAGTAATTAATTTTAAGAATAACTTATTTGTTGGAGTAAGTATCTTGCACAAGTTCCGTTGTTTCCAGTCCAGGATGTCTATAGCCATATGTGCTCTTCTCTCTGGAAGCCGTCCATTGATTTTTCTTGGTGATTTATGGCCTCTGATTCTTAATTATTAACTGTATTTTGATGGCAAAAATCCAAAAGCAGAAGAATTATCTACTGTGAAATTTGTTCATCAGATTTTAGGTTTGCATTTTCCTTTGCCTGCACTTTTTACTTATTTCCTCATACAAGTCAGAAATAAATGGCAGTTATGATCATAATCTGTTAACTTTTGATTTTGGTAGTTTATTTTGCAGTATTTTTCCATCCACATTTGTAAGGAAACAACTTACTTAAAGGGTTGGAGGTCTTTTTTCCTTCTTTGATTATAGTACTGTCAATTGTGTTTTCATTTGGTTTTATGAGTCTTTTAATGTAAAAATGCAAACATTGTCCATTATAAAGGTTTTTCAAAATCCTTCCAGATCAAAAGCCTAGCCCAAGTATTCAATATCCAATACAGGTATGCATTTGTGAGAAACAACTTTTGACCTCAAAGTTTTTATAGGAATCAAATGCCAGACAAGCTGTTTTGTGTGTCTCATTAATAGCAAAACTGTGGTTTGCTTTATAATAATGTCAGTGGGATTTATAATAATGTCAGAGAGATGGAGTGACAAAGGATTAAAATAAAATTCAGTGAAACTTTTTCCCTAACATTTTATTTATGCATAAAACTGAAACCCAGTAATGACCCATATTTCTGTATTTACCTAATTCTGAAAATATAGCATTGCATGTTGTGAAAGTATAATCAAATTCGGAATAATATTCTTATTCTGAGGCCATGACGGTATATTGCTCCAAATTTGAAATCTGCTTAAGTTTCTCAGCTGCATAGCCTTAAATCAACTCAGATCTTTAATTGTGTAAGTTCATTTATTCTGAACCAAATGTAATTTCCCTTTTAGGGAGGGATTGCCTTTAAAAACCTCATTAATAAAATCCTAATGAGGTATCTTGGACACTGTAGAATACTGGTGTCATTTTTATGAGTTTAGAACAAAAGGATACAAAATATACAGATAAGATTACCTATCAAATACATGAAGGCAAAATGTTCCTGACAAAGTCAGAACATTCTAAAATAGTTTAAAAACGTTTCCAGTGCCTTCAAAAAACACCAAAGCAATTATTGCTGATACCTTATGAATCAAAGGTCTTGTTTTTTCATCATGACCTGAGTTCAGCCGGCACACTTTTGGAAAAAGAAATTGGCATTCCTTGTTGGATTGAGAACCTAGATGACCTTATGCCTCTAACGTAAAGGATATAAATGGTCTATTTGTGCAACTATGCAAATATGCAAATACAATGAATGCCAATTTATAAAATGAAAGGGCTAGTTGAATAAATGTAAATATAAAAACAGTAACAGGGACTCAAGGTCTGTAATAAATTAAAGCTGTGACTAAAATAGAAATCAGACTGGATAAATAATCATTGTAATAATGGCAGAACTTGAGCCCAACAACAAAATTTTACATAAGGTTATCAGTTGGCATCAAATGGAGGATCAGTGATAATGGGGAGCATAAGAAGTGTATACAGATTTTAGAGGCTGTTAAAATTGTCAAAGGTCAAAATAGTTTTTTAAATGTAGTGACACATCCATTCTCTAGCTAGGCTCACACATCGTCTTGTGCCCATTGCACAATTTCAAATTAGCATTTTACTATGCGCTGACATCTGAAATACTAATAGACAAAAATCAGAATAATTGATCTGCAAAGAATCTCAAGAAATTATACCTGGTCTGCCCCCCAAACAAGAGAACACCTAAGCCATTTAAGATAAAATATGAATTCTCTAATTTATAAATTTTCAGGAAAATTGCTGCTGCTTTTCTTTCTGCTGGTACATTTATCTGTCTGGCTTTGTGACCTCCGAGTTCAGAGCATAAAGTACAACCTTGTTTAAATTAACTCTTTCTCTTTTCTTTATTTGGTCCTCAAAACTGCTGAGTTGATTTTAATATTAAAACAAACAAACAAAAATCTTACATCTAGCTTGTAACTTGCATGACAAATTCCACCGCAGGTGTTTTCTGATCCAGTGAGAAGTTCTTGAAAAATGAGAAGAAAGAGAGGTTTAATTGTAACATGGATACATTTTGGACTGGATGCCAGCCACTTGAATAAGGTATGTGTGTTTAAGCATAAAAACTGACTGTATTTTCCTTTTCTTATTTGAACATGCAAAACCTTTTATTTTCATAATCAAGGCCAAATGTATTTCATACTTGGGACTTAAACCAAAACTCACAAGGAGGATGAAAGAGCATTACCCATGCAAGCAATAGATTTGAGGCAAGTTTTAATTGAAAAGAAAAATCCCACCATCTAGTCATTTTTAGAGCATGAGTTGCATTCACCACACAAATCCTTCATTATTCATACATGGCAGTATGTATTTAATGATTAAGTCTCTAAGGATTTATGTGATGGAATAATCTAAATTTCTTTTTTTAAAGGGCAAATGAAATGTGGTTTTTAATTCTTTAAAGAACAAGTTACAAAGCATGTAAAAATAAAACACAGGCTCTTAGTTTTTAAAACTATATCTACAATTTGCCTATCCATTGGTTTGCTCATCTGGATATCAGTAACATACAGACTTGATCTACTAATGGCTAATTATGCAGTTGTTTATCAGCTCATTTGAAACATTTTGAGATTCAGTCTAGCTCAGCAAATTACTGTGCTTAAGGCAGTTCTACATTCTAGAAAATTATAATATCCCCAGAAGGCAAAGAATTAATAATAAAAATCCTCTTTTGTAAAAGATTATCATTGCAGAGCAAATGGAGCAGATCTTCCCTATCCTACTACATTTAATATTCTCATTTTTCCCCTGAAACTTTGATGGAGAGGGAATGAGAATATCGCTGTTTTATTAACTTATTAAGAGGCACATTTATAGAACTCGTGCACTGTATTGATTCCTAAAGCTGCACTGCTGCTAAGAGCCAATAATCACAGAAAAGTCAGATGATTCCATTTCTTATCCCAGAATATTTCTGATACTCAGCAGAGCCCAAATTTTCACCCAATTCAGAAAGCCTGGTTTTTTTACTTCTCTCAGCCTCAATTTATTCATCTGTAAAATAGGTGTAATAACAAAAGGCAGCCTCTGGATGTTGTGAGAATCAGATAATGCAGTCAATAGACCTAATACAATGCCTGTAGATATTAAATATCGTTAGTTTTTGTCATTATTATGGTTATCATCATTACCTCTTGTGGTTCAGGAATCAAATAAAGATACATTAACTTAAGTAGCCATTTGCCTATGTAGTTATGTAACTTCTTCTGTAAATATTTTCATGTCACCTGAAAGTTTAAAATGAACTTACTGTAAGCCCCAGCACTATTTAGCCCAAAACTGTCTTTCCAAGCTAATATCAAATCAGCCAGAATAGGCGGGCTACTAGTATGCAACTGGGATAAATTGCATAGACCCTAGTTTGGAATTATCCAACCTCATAGCAGCTGCACTTGATAACATGGTATTTTAAAGGCACTTGGTGCCTCTTCTATTGAACTGTGTCAAAGAGTTTTGAACTTTTTCTTCTTGACTCAGATTTTGTAGTAGATTTTACCAACTTCAGTAGCATTACATTGGATCATTGCATCATATTTTAAGAAGAAGAAAAGTCTTTAAAAACTATCCAGATGCCTTAGCTAGAACATATGAAACTATTTGCTTTACGGCATTATTTGCGTAGAGTATATGTATCATTTCATTTATTTGTCAACCAGGACTACTTTTTCACTTCCTAGTAAGATTTGGTGTGCTACCATTAGCTTATAAATATGGCAGGGTGTGGTGGCTCATGCCTGTAATCCCAGCACTTTGGGAGGCCGAAGCAGGTGGATCATTTGAGGTCAGGAGTTCGAGACCTGCCTGGCCAAAATGGTGAAACCCCATCTCTACTAAAAATACAAAAATTAGCTGGAGATGGTTGCTTGAACCCAGGAGGCACAGGTTGCAATGAGCCGAGATCGCGCCACCTGGGCAGCAGAGCAAGACTCTGTCTCAAATAAATAAATATACAAATATGGCTGAAGCCCTGTGTTTTTATTTTAAACATGCTGCATCTTCTATATATTCAAGGAGTGCGATTAGTGCTACTTGGAAGCCAGTCCTAACGCTAAACTGTGGGGCTAATTGTGGCTCAACTTCCCCTTGCAATTCGTGGCTTCGAAACATCTCTGCCTCTCTTGATTCAGTAAAACAACCAATGTTGCAAGGCATTTCAGCTTGGTGAACAACAGAAAGGCTGTGACGCTTTCTTTGCCCCCAAAATGTGAAAAGCAAACTATGTAATCACTAGGGACCAACTAGATCAGTTAGTTTTTCTTTATTGCACTTCATATCCACTGCCTTTTTCCTGTTTCAAAATGTGCAATCAATTTTTCCTGAATTTGAAAACTCCTAAGAATAGGCTCTTCTTTATTGTTCTCCAAATTTTCCTAGGGCAAATGAAGTCCATTACAGGGGGTTACATATGTAGAAGAGTAAAATGGGATCAGACAAATTAAAATTTCATGTAAGGCTCAGAAGCTAACAGCTGTACAAGTTGAGACCTGCTGGAAAGCAGTGACTCTGAAATAAATTCTTACTCTGTAGACGAATAGGACTTCAGCATGCTAGAGGAGAATGTTTTGAGCTCCTTCCAACACTAGAAACTGTTCAAATGGGTTATTTTTACTCTACTTATTATAGAGGTGGTTTAGAAAAAGCTAACCTGCAAGGGGCAAAGTGTCTTTCACCAAAGGTTTCCAGAATCTCAATCAAACCCATTACCATGGGCCGTGAAAGCACCACCTTTTCATCACTACCATCACAGCTGTAGTCGTGCTGTTGTTATTGTTGAATCTCTCTGTTCAGCTTTTTATAATTATCATAATTCACCCTAATGTTATGTGATTAGCAGCCTCTGTTGTGGTGAGAATTAAACACCACTCACATAGCGTCTGTGACCTTTCACCCCTTGTGGAGTCGGCCAGGGCTGCATTGGCTGGGAGACAAAGTGCAGAAACCCACAGAGTGCCACCTGCACTCTCTCAGGCTGGGGGATAAATGGAAAATTTTACCTTCCAACTGTATATGTTGCTCTTCAGGCAGCCATATTATGAAAGTTCAATTCTTCCACCTCCCTGTAAAAACTAATTTATTCTCATCCTAGGAAGATTTTTAAAGGCTTTTGTAAAGTATTGCTTTAGTGCATTGATACAGAAGGCAAAATGACTCTGTTAATAGAAAGATAACAGTTCTTTAATTTTATTTGCAACATCATTAGATTAATTGTATGTTGGACATTCAAAGAAGAGATTTGGGGAATTTGATGCCTCTTTGTTTTAGACTGAAGTCAGTACACATGTGACAAGACCACTGAATGAGAACTGTTGGCAAGAATGTACAAATAACTAACCATCCTCTTTATCTAATGAAATATGTTTTCTTCCATGCTAGTGTCCTAAGTTTTGTGGAACATCGTTAATCATAAACACTACAGGAATCTGTTATTTAATTTCACAGACCTTTCAGATCATAGCAGCAATTAGCCAAAATTAGAAAAGAATTTTCTTGCAACTAATATAAGATGAAAAGTAGTCAAGAGCAGATTTAAAAATATACAAAAAAAATAGGCATTTATAGAATGTTGCTATGTACCACTTCTATACTTTCGACAAGATTGACAATATGTAGCATGATGAGTTAAATTTTCTTTAGCCAAGTACAAAAATCTCTGCATTTTTTCTAATTACCACTTCCTACAAGTCAGCGCAAAGAGGAATAGACTCACTTGGTTCAGCTCAATTTCCACAGCTTGACAGGCATTGATATCAAAATTAATTCTAAGATGAAACTTCATAAAAGAAAATCCTATTTGACAAAAAGAACCATTGGGCTTGAATCAGAGTTGCATTTGCATTGTGAAGTCCCTTTTTTATTGTATATGAAATAATGCCTAAGGAGAGATTGAATATCCAGAGAGAGTTCATTTGAGGCATCCTGATAGTATCTGCCATATGCAAGTAAAGCAGAAGACGTTTTTATGACATCTTCAGAACTGGAAGATTGAATTACAGTTTTAGTAATCATCAGTTCCCCTTCTCCACTGTCACTTTTTGCTAATATATTGCATAGAAAAGACTTATGGTACCGGTTTTATAAGCTTGCAATAAAAATATAACAACTGTTGTATTAAATTATTTAAGTTGTAAACCATTGTGAAAAAGGAGAAAAAGTTTTATCGACGTGGAGGCTGAAAAACTGATTATGATGGAGAGCAAAATGTATTGTACTGATTACTCCCAAGTTTTTCCTTGGTTTAGCATATTGTAAATCTTCAGGGTATCTTTCAAATCAAGGTCTGGGTATGAGAAGTCCTTTTATTTATTGATTATTCAGAACGGGCCAGTGGCAAGAAAAAAATGGTACCTGTGTATTTCCAGGTTACCAATTTATTTTAGCAGAGTTATAAATGCAAATAAACTAAGAAAAAAAGAGTAATATAGACTTAAGTAAATGTTTCTTTTTGATGAAACCTAGTAAATATGAAATAACTACATCTCCCCAGGGAAATTTAGACTCTAGAGATTGTCTAATGTTTCTAGAAATATTTTTTTCTTACCTTATATTGGCTTTATGGGCACTTATTACCTCTACTATTTAGCAGACTACCATTCTGCTACTGTGTGCAAAGATTCTAGGCTAAGATGTTTTCTCCTCTCCAGGCGTCCTCCATATTCACTCCTTTGGAGAGTCTACCCTTCCATGTCAGACTTCTTCCAAAACTTTCTGTTGATCAGTGCCTCCTTTCTCTTGCATTTCTAGTCCACACTGGGAATCTTGGTGCATTCTCTGCCTTGCTCAGAATGTCAGCATTCCATATTTATGCACTGACACTATTCCTCAGTGCCCCCAGGATTGCTGGACACTGAAACATGGTTCATATCAGGCTCTACCCACCTCCCCCTACACACACACACCTTGGCCACCCAGGAGAAAAAAGGAATTTCCTTGACTAAATAATCAGATTTTATTTATCTAAAGGAAATTAGAATAGGGAGACATGTATTTTTACCTGGTAAATCGAATCACCCAAGGGATGCACAATAACTGGGGATTAG